CCGACTCCGAAACTTAACTAAATGAAATTGTTTTATCCAATGTTACAAATTGCTGTCAAAAAATCAGAAGATTCGAATGAATGGTTGCTGAAATATTGCAAAAAGTGTAAAAGCCAGCATACATTTTTTTTGCAAATAACTTGTTGAAAAATTAAAATTAGCTCAAAAGCTTTAGTGTCAATATTGCACACCATGTAAACTTTCAAAATCGGCCAATTACATATTAAAAGTCGAAAAGTCAACTTTGGTTGGCCCACTTGGAAAAAAAACTTGACTCTAAGGGCCAAATTCAGAATCGGCAGTTAACTACAGATTTTCTGTACGTACAAGGAATTCGACTCTAAAGACAAGATAAGCTATGATATGCAGTTTTTATGGAAATTGATGAAAAGCTTATTGGTTGCGCTATGTTACAAAACGTACTTTGGATGATGGATAGTAAATCAAATCAGTTGACTTTCATCGCTTTGTTAACCGTTTCTTAACTTACTTGCTTACTCTATTTTAACAGCCTTGAATCAAAACCTTCTTAGCCTCCACCATCTATATTACAAGTATTTGTCATCACAGATGCACAATCATCGAACTCGAATAAGTACTTTTGTAAAATCTTTGGTACGCCCAACAAATTGATCATTCGACTTAAACTGGAATCGCGCTTCGTTGTTGGATATCGTTGTCTCACCATAACCGAGTTATTAAGCAGGCCTATCAATTGATTTCTTATCACAATGCGGCAAAGAGATTGGAGCGATAAAGGTGTGCCACACAATCGAAACATTTCCATTTCGAAGTGGCGTCGCTCTGCGGTCCAATTATTTGGGAACGGCGGACGCAGGCAAGGAAATTTAAAATCAGCGTGAACTGAAAAAACAAAATTCATTCATTTGATGGACAGACACGCAGAATGTTCACTTTCTATCGCTTACCCAATAACTTGGCGAATTCCAAACAACCCGCAGCATTTGTGGCACGCAAATTATTTACCACATGATCGCGACACACTTGAGAAATGTCCACTCCTTCTTTAACCAAAAACTCCGCAATATCGAATTTGTTTAGCATAACTGCACGAGCCAATGGCGTTTGACAGTAGGGAATGTAGCAGGACCACGAAAGGGACGTAAACGACGCGGACATCCATCTGCCGTCACTATGTGCAAACAATATACGCGCTATCGGTTTGAAGTCCTGTACGGTGTCAATGTACTGCACAGCGATCAGCAGCTCATTTTCCACACAGTCGACTATCGTGGCACCTTGCGACTGCTGTACGGTAGCCACACGCAGCAACAACTCCAGCATGTCGGTCTTCTGACTGAGTATCGCCAGCAGGATAGGCGTAACGCCATCTTTGTTGCGCACATTTAAGCTATCGCCATGGCTTATCAACGTTTCGGCCATGCCGGACATGTTGTAGCGCACGCAATGGTGCAGCAGGTAGTGTGAGGTGATGCGACGGGCACCCCTTTGGAGCAGACGCACCGTCAGTGGCACATTGTTCTGCAACACAGCATAGTAAAGGGCACTGCGTCCCTCCTTGTCTTGCAGATTGATACGTGCGCCCCGTTCGATAAGTGTGACCGCAACGCCATCCAGTTCATTGGCTAAGGCGCACATCAATGGCGTCTGATCGATGTCGTCCGTTTCGTTAATACTCGCGTTCGTTTGCAATATAACGTTGGCCTTTAAGGGTAAGTAAATAAGTGAAAAGACTAAGGAAACCAGAAATGTAAATAAAGAATGGCGAATGATTTTACCACTGCCACCGAACGATTCCTTATGGCCAAGTGCAAAGCTGTTTCGCCTGTATTCAATGTTTTTAAATTCGGATTAGCACCATGTTTAAGGAGTAGGTGCGCCACTTCTACGTATGCCACGCCTACGTGCAATGGTGTGTAACCATCACTGTTGACGACATCCAACGACGCGCCATGCGTAATCAGCATTCTCACGCACTCGACATGGCCGCATGCCGCTGCATAGTGTATTGGAGTCATTAATAGAGCGTCTACCCGGTGGATATCTTGCAGATGCGCACAACTCGGCGATACCGCATACGATTCATCCATGCGGGTGATAATTGCACCGGTGCGTTCAAATGTTTTGGCATAGTAGTAGTAGAGGGAAGTGTCCTCGGCGTCCTGTGCTTCATCCTCTGCATCAGCCTGATCACAATCGTTACAGTTTTCGATGAACTCGTCCTCCCACTCGAGATTATCCATACCGTCGGGAGTGCACTCCGTTTCCATTTCAAAAGAGTTTGAGCGATCTGTTGGAGAGACGGTATCATGAATGTAGTATGTGAAGATGCTCTTTGCAAAAAAAATCTCGCATGGGATGGGGATATGCAATCAATCTGGTGGGATAAGTCATACTTCAGCACCTCGATTTATTTGGATATTTACATACTAGTGAGCCCGTATGGCGTTAAAGCGCCAAAATTGAATTAAAATTTTTAAAAAAGTTCCTACCATTTCAAATATTCCAAATGTTAGTCAGAGTTGCAAGATAACTGTTTCTGAGTGAACAGAGGTCTCGCATAGCTAGATAAATATGACTTCAAATAGGCGGCAACCCTATTCAAAAATATTTTCCAACTACAGCTTAAAACTTTTGTTGACGCTCATATTTTAATATTTCATATAACTTGTGTGAACATTAACTTAATTCGACTTTTCAAACAGGTGGCAACCTCCTTCAAAACATTTTCAAATTAAAACTTTCTTGAACCTTTTTCGTCTGACGCCCACACTGCGTTAGTTCAAGTAGAATGTGAGTTTTTAAACAGGTGGCAACCCTCCCTTTTCAAAACCGTTTCGATTGATACCCATATTGTAGTAATTCATTTAAATTATATAATTTGAACATTTTAACAGGTGGAAATTCTTGACACCTAGTTTTTGAAAATCGAACGAATGGTGGAGATATGTTGGCATTGATAAAAAATGTATTCGTATATAATCGCAGCGACGGTATCGTCCGTTTCAGTAGCCTTTCTCAACTTTGTAATTGGATAGAAATCCCGTACTTCGTTTACTAAAGTAGTCTCGGTCTCATGTAAAAAGGCTACCAAAATTCTTTGGGGTCTCATGCGCCACCACACCACTGAAGGGTTAAAAAAAAACGCATTCAATTTTGCTTCAAGAAGTGCATTGGCATTACGAACAACAATATGTGTGTACCTAAACGGTACTTGATGCACATATCGATTTTTCGGCACTTGTATAATACACACACACACACACAAATAAGGCGTCACTTACTTCTATTAAATATATCCAATTCAGGTTCTTCACAAGATTGTATTAACAGCTCGAGGATCTCCGCGTCTCCCACTAACGCTGCAGTACCAACAGCTGTACGCCCGCAGATGGTGGACACCACGGTTGCCCTGGCACCCTCCATCAGACAATCGAGCACCCCATGAAAGTTGCCCGTCTGCACTGCGGCCAATAGCCGCTCGTTCAGTTCGAAAGTGTTTATTGGTGAATGCATTGCATATTCTCCTCGTTCGTTTCTCAATTTAGATGCCTTTTTCTAGTCATTGAGTTTATTTTATTTTGTTTCTTATTAACTGTTAAATGTTTAAAAAGCGAATAAACTTTTGGAATGAAATACAATAGGCGAAATTAGAAAAAAAACTTAACGTTTTACAGTAAAGTTGAGTTAATATTGACGCTTAGTCTTTACTGAATGCAAATGTCTTACACTGTGCTCGGGCGAGTGTCAGTGCTCTTGACACTCAGAATTGCTGTTGCGCAGTCAAAAGCCACCAAAGAAAGTAATCCAAAGGGGTGGAAATCCACTGTTTAGGGTGTGCACTCGATGACTGAGGAAGGTGAAGTCATGATTGAAAGAGAAAAGACCGCGTTGGAGTTCATGTTGTTGTTTGTTTACATTCGTGGCACGTAATATGAACCTCTGTTATGAATGGCCGAAAGAACGGTAAATAATGAAGTTGAAAGGTTGAATGTGTGTGCCAATAAAGCTGACGGCTGTTTGTTTACAAAATTGATCGTTTTATCTTCCGGTTCCGTTTTCCGTTAACTAAGCCAGCGGTGAATTACATCAGAGCTTTTATTGCAAGATTGGAAATCCTGCGGTATACAAGCGGTTTTTGGTTTGTTTTAGACTCAATGAATGCAAATATTTTACACAAATTTTTGGAAAGTCGAAATTAAAAATTATAATATTCGTGAGTTCACTTTTATTAGCAGTTAACAGGGAAGGAAATACAATTTTCCAATTGTATAAAATTTGCGGAAAAATTCACTATCTACAAGTTGACAATGAGCTTAAAGAATCAAATACCGTTTGGTCTCAGTCCCTAGGATTGTTCTATATCGGAAAAAATATGCCCCTATAATCGCCAATTCCATGTGAATAAATTGTTCCCATAATTAAACGAGCAAAACAAAAACAAATTGGGAAAAATTCTTTTTGTTTTGCTTTATAATTTTTGGGTATATCTGTTCATATAAAATTCGCGATACGGCTGATTTTTTACTTTGAAATAAAAAATTTTTTATAGGTCGCTCAAATATGAGAAAAAAACAACTTTTCTTAGGAATGGTATGGAATGCTTGAAAATCAATATTTTTTGTTCGGAAAACTCTGGAGCCCTTCAGGAGACTTCCAATAAGAATACCCAATCGTTCATTTAACAAATTTTTAACACAGATTAACAGATTTTTTATTTATCCCCCCATTGTATTTTCTGGCATTTTCCGAAGGTTTTGGCGAAGCTATAAAATTTAGTTACTATAAATTAAATAAATAATTGGGTTATATTATTGGGAATCTCCTGAAGAGAAACAAAGTTTTCCGATCGAAAAATATTGATTTTCAACAATTCTATAACATTTCTACGAAAGTTGTTTTTTCCCCATATAAAATATGTACATGGAAAACTTGGAGCGCTTTGAGCGACCTCTAAATATTTTTTGATTTCAAAATAAAAAAATGGGGGTATATTTTTTCGGTATAGAACAATCGTAGGGGGTGAGAGCATACAAATTCCGACTTTACTGTTCCACATGCATTTTTGGACCACCCGAATGTACATATATATGTATGCATATACCAATGTTTTAGACGGCTACATGAATCCTTTCAAAGTGTCAAATAGAGCCCGACCGATTAATCGGCATCGACTAGTATCGGCCAAAAGAATCGACATCGGCCGTTTTAAACCGATTCTTAGCCGATTCTTTTTACTTTTTCCGCACTTTATTCCATGTTATTTATTTTTTACTTTTTTAGTTCCCTTAAAGATTAAATTATTAATGCACCTGAGTTCCCCTCATAAATGTGTTCTCATGTGTTTCGTTTCTATGATATACGGTGGCAAGAATGTAATTAGGGAAGCCCTATTTTAGCAAGTTTTGACTATTTTTCTTTGTTTAATTTTTTATGAATATATATGTAGTTCATTATGTAAAATCCGTAAATCAAATTTTCAAACTTTGTAGACGCATTTTCTTCTTCTTCTCCAAAAATCAAAGTCCTAGTAATTTAAAATTTGCACTTCGTTAAAATAAAAATTGAATGGCCCGAATTACAAGGGCAATAAGAGTCACACATTACTCTTATTGAGGCTCATTTGGTTTATGAATTTAAGGCGACCCTTGCAAGAAGGGAAACACCTTTATTTTGGACTCTTAAGCAACCTCATTATTATAAGAGCAAATAGTCAATTTTAGTGCGCCTCTTTTGAACTTAGGAAATTTGCCTTTCGATGAATATAAACAGGAAGAAATTTAAAAGCCACCTTAATCCTTTCACTTTTAATTTATCAAGCTTTCTTTCTGCGAAAAAATGTTGCCTCTCTTTGTGTTCGCTTTTAAATTGAAGGCAAAGGGTGAGAGAATTGTGTGTTCGTTTCTTAAAGTAACACACTCCTTTAAGGCACAAAAAAGGCACATTCTCTGCCTTGTGAAGCTTTGTCAGGGGAGATGGTTGCCCTGAAAATCAGATGGTTGGTTGTGGTTGAAATGCGTGAGCTGGACAAGGGCAGGAAGGAAAAAACATGCCCTTTTATAGGGTTGAGTGTAGCATCAAACACATTTTGCACCGTGGAAGGGCAACATTTTTTGGAAGAAACGAAATCACCATTAAATATTTTACTTGTTTTAGTAATTAAGCGCCATGGGGGAAAACAGCTTAGCTTTGCCTCGCAAGATTTATTAATATGTGGTATTTTCCTTCGTTTTAAGGAGTAAACAAAACCGTATATATATACATACATACTTACTAAAAAAAACCTTTATCATGCTCAGCCAAACAAAATAAATGGAAACAACAAATTTACTTTGCTTACTCAAATTCTTTATCGTCCTTGCATCGAGATTTCCAGTATAATCGAATACACTTACGAATGGAAATATACCAATATATAATTTAGGCGATTTTCGATCATTAATTACGGCATACGCAGGTTAAGCCTGAATTGCAGAATCCTCTGCGATATCCCAAAGAAACGCAATGTTTGCTACAGAGAGCTTGCGATATGAGACATGTACCAATCATGCTGCGGCTTTGCAGTTCACTCTCTTCAATTATAGGTTTCTCTCCGGGTATAAAAACTTCAGTTTGAACAGTAGCTTCTCCAGAAATCTTTGTGTTCTGGAAGGCTTCAATCATAGCCTTAATCAACGCCTCGGCCACCGCCTCGGGAACTTCAATGTGAGCGCTAGATTGGATGCTGGCATCGATGGTGACATCCTTGCTAGCCTCTTCAGAATTTTCTGGTTTTCCCACCGGCACTGGATCGTTGGGAATACCATCGCTGACCTCGACAGAGTCGCCAAAAGGATGAGCCGTTGTGGCATGGAACAGCAAGAAGCTGCAAAGCAATACAAATGCGGTTTTCATGTTTTAGAATATTCACTGATTGCTAAAGCAAATGAACTGATACATTGGTCAGCGGATCGAGGCTTTTTAAAGTCAACTGGAGTATAGCACAATCAAGTTGTGATAGTCGTTAAACTGAAGTGGTTGACCACTTTAGGACATTCGTGCCAGTTAGAAATGCTGTGCAAATACAGCTTTTACAAATATTTCCACTTAAATTTAAAATTAAAACAGATACATACATACATAGATATACATACGTATGTGTGTACATATGTATGCACGTTTTTTTCTATAGCCAATATAAATTACCATACAAATAAGGGGTATTTTCCTGCGATGACGCCCGTGAAGGGGGAACTCTCTTGAGTACTAATATACTCGCATAGTAGCTTGCACGACTTGCAGCCAGCCCCACAGCTACACCTGCGTATTAAAACCTCTCCACAAGCCACTGCTGGTTGGCCAAAAAGACGTTATTTAACTGGTTCAAATTGCTGAGACCGTTTTAAATCTTTAAGAACTCTGAGGTTAGGGCGCAGTTATCTCTTGATTTCAACACGTACATACATAGAGTGTAGTAGAGTACATACATTAGAGTGGTCCAAAAACAGTAATTCCGCCACCCCTAGGATTGTATACCGAAAAAAAACATATTTTTTTATATTGAAATCAAAAAATATTTAGGGAGTGCTCAAAGCGCTCAAAGCTTTCCATGTATTTTATAAGGAAGAAAACTGAACTTTTCGTAGTAATGGTATAAAATTCTTCAAAATAAATATTTTTCGTTCGGAGAACTTTGGTTCTCTTCAGGATACTTCCAATATTAATATCCAAATGTTTACTTAACCATTTTTTAACACTAAAGATTTTTTATTGATCCCCCCATTGCATTTTCTGGGCGTTTTGGCGGACTTGTAAAATGTAGTTACCATGGAAAAATTTGTTAAAGAAACAATTGGGTATTGTTGGGAATCTCGTAAAGAGAAACAGATTTTCCGAACGAAAAATATCAACTTTTAAGAATTCTACACTATTTCTACGATAAGTTTTTTTTTCACTAAATTTTTGTTTTTCCAAATAAAAAAGGGGTATATTTTTTCTGTATAGAACAATCTTAGGGGTGGCGGCATTAAAATTCCGGCTTTACTTTTTCACATGCATTTTTGGACCACTCTAATGTACATATGTACAGCGTGGCGACGAATGACTGCTACCCAGGTTTTTTTGAGAAATAAAAGGGTCCTTTATATATTTTGCGAAAAAAAGTATTTTATTGTTAATTACCCACATTTGACGGTGAGCCACATCCACAGCACAGGTGGAGAAGGACTTGACTGGACTTGAAGAGAAACGACTGGTGGGATTTATTGGATTAGACCAAAATCGCTTAGGCTGTTACAGCGCCTGTCAAGAAGACGAATATTACCTTTTTCGACCAGTAAAATCAATTATCTCAATATCTACGCGACTGAAACGAACCCCAACTACTATGAAATTAGTTGCAATCCCATACGAGTCCGGACTAGTCAGAATTAGTCAGATTTTACAGGAAATCGATCCCGTACTCGGTTCTCTGACTATTGAGAGAACAAAAAAGAAGCTGCCAGTTTTAGTCCGAAGATTTTTTGCTGGCAAATTCTGGTAAATGTGTCAAACGATCAGCTGTTGTGTATTGTAAACAAAAGAAAAGTGCACTCTGCCAATGCACGTAGAAAAGTTAATTACTTGTTTAAGTGGATTCTTAAGAATTTGAAAGTATTTGAAGTAAAGCAAAAATTTACAACCAAAATGTGGAGGTTATGTTGAAGTTGTCAGAAGTTACCATTTTTTTTACCAGAAAGCGATCCCGTACTTTTCAGTGTTACTCTCCCACTCCGAGCGAATTTTGATTTTTTGACAGTTTTTCTAGTTTTAGTCCTAGGAATACGGGATTGGACCTAATGTTAGTATATATGTATGTATTTTGAGAAAATTTGCATATTTCTTTCCAATGTACTAATCAAGTGTTATTAATATGTCGACACCTGAGTGGAAGGTCGACCTATCTCGGAAGCCAGTTAGAAAACGCTCTATCTCAGAAAACTTGTCAAGAACACCCTCTTCAATCAAATGCTGAAGTAGGGCATTTTTTAAAAGTTTTCTGGGATATAGCGTTTTCGAACTGGCTGCTGAGATAGATCGATCTTCCACTCAGGTGACGATATAGCATTCATACATATGTATTCTTAAATGAGGGAATCAACCAATCGACAAAAAAATTAAAAATTAAAAGGTGTTCGCACAAGGCGATTTTGCGTTCAACTTTTGCTTTCAACTCACGCAGGGTTGCACGAAAAAAAGTTGAATGGCTAAATGTTGGCTGGCGACCAACTTTGTTGAAAGCGATTAGTTGAAAGGCCGTTCAACCAAAAGTAGAATGCAAAGTTGAACAATGCAAACGCCTTTTTATGGCGAATATTTTGATATTTTTTTATATTTTGATATTTTTAGCGATTCAATTTTTTTTCGCGCAACCCTGCGTGAGTTGAACGCCTGAAAAATTGCCTCGTGCGTAAGCCCTATTAGAGTTAAGTATATAAAAGGAATGTATGTGCAATATACTACACTCTTCCGCTATCTAACAGACTGAGTTGAAGTGTTCACTTTCAATCGCTGAAAAAACTAAACACTACAAGATAAATAGTATCCACTTCAAATTTATTTTAATAGTTATTGAAAGAAGATAGAAATGCGATCCTAACTATTCACTTTAATGTACTTGTACATACATACATACATATATATTTACACAATGAAAGTTATGCACTTCTGTACGCAGTCTAAGTAAGTTTAAATTCTTTTTTCGTTACTGCAAAAATTATCTACTTTTCCTGCGCTTTGGAATATAAAACAAAAGGATCAGCAAATCAAAGCGATGGATACCTCGTAAATCGTTCGATAAAAAATTTTATGTAAAATATGAGCCATTGAAGAAATTATTTTTATAGGAAAGCTGTTTTTTTAAAGTCACAACAGGCTTAAAGGAACAAAATCTAATAGGCCTCATACACGGTGCGTCTGACTCGCGAGTCAGTTGTGTACGTGTAGACTCGCCTTCGACTACACACAGTTTTATCATTCAGAGTCATGCCAAGAGTGATGTCGGTGTAACTAACACATATTTATTTTCACAAACACGTCCAAATCGACTCGCGAGTCAGACGCATGGTGTGTGCCGCCTATAAAAGAAAATGTAATGAGGATGCGCTCAAAATGGATTTAAATAAATGATCAACATTTTTCTGACCCCGCATTGCAGTACATATACCACCATTACTTTATGAGAGCATAAAAATTCCGACTTCACTTTTTCACATGCATTTTTGGACCACCCCATTGTACATACAGTGGCGGTCAAAAATGGATGAATGGTGCTTCGAGTTTAATATTCACAATGTTCCTCAAGCTAAAACTTGTTTGATATTTTTTTTATAAAAATATGGTTAATTTTGTGCTGAACTTAGAATAATTCCACAAATTTTTATCTAGACTTCCAGCTTTTTAACCAGAATTTTTTGAAATTTTTAAGGTTAAGTTTTGAGCGGCTAAAATATGGTATTGATTTTTTTTTTTGTTGACGGCGATTTGCACTTTTTTCCATATAAACATAAATTTCTTGTGGAACAATATGCGCAAGGCCGTTTGCGAAAAAATAAAAAAAGTCAACGGCAGTTTTACTAAATTTCGCTATTTATATGAAAAAAAAAACCCAAAAGCCGTCAGCAAAAAAAAATTACTAAAAATTNTTGTGGAACAATATGCGCAAGGCCGTTTGCGAAAAAATAAAAAAAGTCAACGGCAGTTTTACTAAATTTCGCTATTTATATGAAAAAAAACCCAAAAGCCGTCAGCAAAAAAAAATTACTAAAAATGAATGCGATTTTATAGCCGCTCAAAACTTGCACTCATTTTATTAGCATTTTATAAGCTTGTTAACTGCATATCCAAATTTCTAAAAATTCTGGTTAAAAAGCTCGAAATTCAGATAAAAATTTTTAGAATTTTTCTAAGTTCTGTATAAAGTTTGAAAGTGTGATTTACATAGTTTTCGTTAAAGCATGAACCATATTTTTGTAATATAATATCGAATAAATTATACCTTGAAAAACATTGTAAATATGAGAAAACTAAATACCATTCATCCATTTTTGATCGCCACTGTAAATATGATAACCCCATGTAAACGGTGCTCAACGTGATTTTACGCAGTCCTATCAGTTTCGCAGTTTTCCAAATTCAGACATAGCGGCGTATAGGCAACTCCTTTTTGTGGTTGCCAAAGCGGCTTTGAAGTCGACAAATAGATGGCGAGTGCCGATCATCTTCTCGCGAGTCTTTTCCAAGACTTGCCGAATGGTAAATACTTGGTCTATGGTGGTTTAAGGTCACACTGATAAGGCCCGATCAATTCGTTGATGGTGGACTTCAGCGTTTCATACAATACCCTGGATTGGGCAGAGCACACTTAAATTCTAACCGTCAGGCCCCCCGCAGATTTGTTGTATTTCAGCCGCAAACTTGCTATTCGTACTTCGTAACAATCGGGTGGCGGTACATCAACTCCGTCGTCTTTGACTGGGGACTCGAGTTCATCATCTCCGCTGGTTTCAGCGTTGTTAATCAATGATATTATTTACAACCTTATAATTTGCCCAAAGAATTATATCTATTCAAATATTAGTGGATTTTGAGATTAATTGAGATTGATAAAACATTACAGGGAACCTTGTAATTGTATCGGCTTTTAATCTAACTAAAAGTAAACCAATAATTTTTGCCTGGTATTCTTCAAAACATTTTATTCGTATCTACTACATATGTATGTACATATATTTGGAATATTAAAACTTAGTTAAAATTTTCCTAAATATTTTTGTTTTCAACACATCCGGCGCTCAACTGTATTTAATCGCGGCATACGCAGATAGACCTTCCGTTGCAGTAGCCACCGCGGTGTCCCAACAGAATACAATGAGCAGCGCATAAAGTCTTGGACCAACCAGTGGCATCCATCAAATCACAGGTAGCGAGTTGGCTGCGGCTTTGCAGTTTAGGTTTCTCTTCGGGTATGGAAACGTGACTTTGAACGCTGGATTCTCCAGAGATTTTCATATTGTTGAAGGCTTCTACCACTGCCTTAAGCAACTCCTCTGCAACTGACTCGGGAATTTCAATGTGCGCACTGGATTGAATGGCTGCATCGATGGTGATGTCCTTGTTGCCCTCAGGATGAGCTGCAGTTCCGCGCAGCACTAAGATGCTACAGAGCGTCACAAAAATGATTCCGGTAGTTTTCATGGTTTTGGATTTTCACTTGATGTAGGCGCAAGTAAAACTGATAATTTGACCAGCGGTTCGCGGCTTTTTAAACCAAATTGAGGGATGTAGAGAAAGTGGCAACGTTCTTCTTCGGGAAATGGCTAACCATATGACAACTTCAAGTGTTAGATACTTCATCGCAGAGTGTAAATAAGAAGTGCTTCAAAGATACATAAGAGTATGCACTAAATAAATATTTACTGCATATATACTTGTGTTTAAGATAGGCGCCGATTTTGACGAAAAATTAAGTGGGGGTACTTTATTTTTTTTCTATTATTTTTGACACATTGTCGACGGAAGTTTGGTTTTAGAAGATTCTATAGAATGGCTTCCTGCCGTTGGTGATACGCTCCTTGGGATCGAAGCATCCTACGCGGGCTGGACATAACTATTGGAGAGTCATTCGACTTCCTTGGCAAATCTTCCTTTGGCGCAAGTGCTTTTCTTATTTAAACCGCAGCGTATATAATTGAAAACAAGTAATTTTTAAGCAAAAAACAAAACCGACTTCAATTCTCATCCAAAGATTTATGATTATCATCAGTTTTTTCATGATCCGATTATCGGATTTTAGTAGATATTTATTAGTATAGGACCCCCAGTGGGGTAACACCTTTCCTTTAAAAAAGAATTATATATAATGAGTTTCGCCCGATAAAAATTCACTCGATGATTTCTCATCCGTCCATAGTAAATATTGTACATGGAAACCAAAAGAGAATAGTGAACCGATTCGGAGAAAATGAAACTAATAAGGCTGAATATGAAAAAGTAGGTTAGGTTATCTCGCCTGCCCTCATCCCTCAGGAAAAGGGCACACTTAGGCCACCATGGGCCCGTTGTTGTGATGCCATATTAAAGACTCCATATGTCCCTCCTCTTACCTTAGATGGAACCACTTCGTAGCTCTGATGAAGCGCACAAAGTCATTAATACTGGCTGAATCCAGTTCAGCCAGACATTCAAAAGAATAATGGAGGACCGAGCGTCGACGAGCCCTCGCCACGCTTTCGATTTCATCATCATCACGGCAGCCATGACAGTAGTCGTTTGACTGCAAACTCATTCTAGCATCGTGGGTTCCCATCAGGCAATGCCCGGTGAGAACTCCAATAACATGTCGGAGCAGTGGCCGCTCCAAGTGGAGGAGAGGGCGAGATCTACGCTTGTCCAGCCTAGGCGAGATATGCCTTTCTATCCTGCAAGTAGGCTTCGCAGACCATCTTATATTTGCCTGTTCGATAAAGTTGTTCTCCAGCCAGAGTTTGCAAGAAGATAGCGGATAGCTTCCATTGCTAGTTCATCTGCAACACTCTATTTCCCGGTGTCTTTGTGGCCTGGCGCCCATACAACATTAGTGATATAACATCTTGCCAGTTCATTATGAGCCCGTCTTGTTCCGATTTGTCACAACTAAGTGCTCCAATAGCTGCTTGGCTATCAGAAAAGATTGACACCGCCTTCAGATTAATGAGATAGTCGATCAGTCACCTTGCAGCTTCCTTTATTGCTGTTAGTTCAGCTTGAAAAGCGCTATAGAGATCTGGCAGACGGAAACTAAGGCTAAGTGAGAGTTCTGGCGAGTTCACCCCACTTCATACCTTCAGATCCAAATCTGAGCCATCAGTGTAGATGGCTGCTGAGTCATAATACGAGATCAGGGCCGAATCTTTTTCCCATTCTTACCTTGAGGGGATCCTTGTCTGGAAGTGATTCTTTAGTCCAGTAGGCGAGACTGTGTGGTCTAGGTACCTGAAGTCTACTGGAAGATTTTCCAAAATTCTATAGTGTCCAAACCTTTCCACTCCATTTGATTAGCGCATTTAATCTAATAGCATTACGACTTGCCTGTAGTTTACCATATAAGTCCACAGGTAGAAAGTGAAGCAAGGTATGTGGGGCTTTATTCGGCGTTGATGGTAAAACTCCCGTGATCATTATGCTCCCTTTGAACCGTTGCTAATTTGTTTCTTACCGCTAACTTACAGGCGCGCATGGCTGTTATAGCTTTCTTGCAACGCTCTCCTATATTGCGCTGCCAAGTTAACTTTAGGCCAATAGCAATATAGCGCCCAGATATCTAACTTCCTCCGAAAAAGTCAACGCGATGCCGTTCAAGGAAGGAAGATGTAGCCGGACAGGTTTCGCTTTCTTTGAAAAGAGAACCACGGCCGTTTTTGCTGGATTGACACTAAGGCCTGCTTCTTTGGACCAGCTGTCCACGACTGACTCCTTCAGTATCAACTACCGTCAGGGCAAGATCATCCACGCCAGCAATGACTTGGCAATCCGTACTCTGCAACCGTGACAGTAAAGTATCCACCGTTAGATCCCAAAGGAGTGGCGAGAGAACACAGCCTTGTGGAGTGCCGTGGCTTGCCTATCTTGGTATGGATACCTCCCCCATCTCCGAGTATATAACTCTACTGGCTAAGAGGCGGTGAACAAACTTGACCAGAGGGTGATCCAGTCAAGGCGAATTAGCGTTTAGAGAACAACCCCCGGAAAAACAGGGCATGGTCGCAGATGAGCGAGATGTTGAAAAATCTCGCTTTGATGCGGATTGTAGCTAGACGTTCGTCCACCGGGGTGAACACCAGTATTTACTCGGCGACGAAGTCTTTCTCCTACCATGAATCCAACACCGAATTTGCGCCCCTTTACCCATCTATCGCATTTCTTGGATGGCGGTGTCAGCCTTTGTCTTCCCGAGGACATCAACCAGCCGGGCAGAGGCACCGTCCCCATTAAGGATGCGAGTATTCCAGGTGCATACCCTGAAATCATAGTCTTTTATACGTTTACCATGGTCGTCATCAGAAAAAGGGGGTCTCATCCGATGCTGTTTAGGCGTTTTCATTGGGCGGGGTTTTAACGTGGCGGGACCCAAACCCAGCGCACGCGAAATTTACGCCTTCACACATTAGCTCGCTCCTAAACGGGTGTTTGGTCGCAACCCAGAGGATACGTACGCACAAGAATGACTTGTGGCTACTCCCAGGTGAATGGCAGTCAGAAGTCGAAAGTTTTCCCACTTACGTGGACTTCTGCATACGGAACCATCCTGTAAGCAATGTATTAGTAAAAAGATTTCAGGGGGTGTGTACAGCGCCGTGGTTAGCGTTGCAGACTTTGCTCATCGATGATGTCAATTCGATTCCTGCTGAAGTCTAGAATAAGAAATGTGATGAGGAGAGGTTCTGTCTCCAAAATAGCAGCTATAACTTCTGCCGCTCAGACTTTGTCGCCTTCTCCATTTTTCTAAAACGAATTGTGGTACAAAGCTCAATAACATTGCTAAAAAGCTATAATTTTAAAAGGTATACGGGAAGGTTTGCTGCATGATTCAATAAGAACAGGTTTGCTCAGAAACCAGGGCTCAAATCGTCCCATACGATATCGTACTACTCGTCACGTAAAAATACATTTTTCGGATTATGACATACGTGATCGTACCCTTTGTCCAATTCAGTTTATACTGACCGACGTATGACATAATTTTCTTTCGTATCATTTTCGATCCGTGAACGGATGTTACAATTCCAGCCCAGCTTTCTCGGTCCCTCGTGACAAAATCGGCTCCCTATTTGTTTGTAGAAGGATGAGCGCTTATAATTTATTCACACTGACTTATTGAACGAGCGAATTTTTAAGTATTCGCTCTCTGTTACCCATTTTTCTAGCTTCAGGAACGCTTTCTGGGCTGTTTTGGGCACTCGCGGGCTCATGTGGAACAAACCTATTTGCTGTGTTTCCTTGCACAATGATTGGGACGACGACGTGATCCTGCAAGTAGTATAAAATTAGTGCTGCCAACCCCAACGAGAATGATCCCGATCGTTTCGTGTGAAATGATCGTGATACTGAATTGCATAACCCAAGGAAGCAACTATAATGTTCACTGTTTTGGTTACCCTGTTTTAAATCTAAAACTTGGCATCACTTTGCAGAACGTATACGTGATTTGTCTTGACAACGACGGCCAACTTCGCGTGAATTCTTTTGCATTTGACATTAAAATGGCTAACCGTGGAGGTAATCGTGCTCGTCAGGAAGAAGTGGATAATACCATTAATTACGTACAATGTGACGGCTTGGTAAGTTATAAACCGAGGAGAAAGTTATTTTCTGCATTTTGCACGTTAAATAGATTCGACAAATGCAGGTTTATTTGGCCAGGAGCTGCGCTGAAGTCTGCTTCATAGCGGCAGCAGTTGTCAAAATTTCACACGTTTGCGATTTGTGAGCAATAGAGAGAGCGCTCTTTAGCGTTGCCAATAGCGCAAATTAATTTGTTCTGTTGTTTAATTATTTACACCATGTATTTATTTAAAGGCTGTGATGAAAATGGTTAAACATTGCCATGAAGAATCGAGCAACATGGATTTGGCTCAAGGCGCACTGCTTGGTTTGGTCGTTGACAAGTGTTTGGAGATTACTAATTGCTTTCCCTTCCCCAAGAGCGGCGATGAGACTATGGACGAAGAAATGTATCAGTTAACGATGATGCGTCGTTTACGCCGTGTCAACGTTGACCATTTCCATGTTGGTTGGTACCAGAGTTCGGATGTAGGAAATTTCCTGTCAATGGCTTTACTCGAATCCCAATACCACTACCAGACTAGCATTGAAGAGTCGGTCGTTGTTATCTACGACACACAAAAGTCTGGTCGTGGTTTTCTTTGCTTGAAAGCCTATAGGCTTACTCCACAAGCCATTCAAATGTATAAAGATGGTGATTTTACACCTGAAGCTCTACGCAACTTGAAGGTGGGCTACGAGAGCCTTTTTGTCGAGATACCAATCGTTATTAAGAACTCTCCTCTGACCAATATAATGATGAGTGAGTTGAGTGAAATGTTGCCTGAAGAACAAGGGCAAAATTTCTTGGACTTAGGCACTGCCTCGGTATTGGAAAACCAAATGCGTTGCTTGATCGAACGAGTTGATGAACTGTACCAAGAATCAATACGTTACAACAAATACCAGCAAGTAGTGTTCAAACAAGAGACGGTAAGTGAATGAAATCAAACTTGCAAACAGTTATGATATTTGTTAATTTCAGGAAAAACATCGTGCTTTGGCCAAACAGGCTGCTGAAAATATTTTGCGCAGCGCCAAGGGTGAATCGCCCATTCCAGAAGAGGAGGTACTCAAACAGTTCCGTCCACTTCCTGTTCCACCTAGATTAAACGCAACAATCACATCGGGGCAAATCAACACTTATTCACAACATATTTCGCAATTCTGTTCGCAATCATTGGCAAAACTTTTTATCACTCAATCTTTACAAAACGCCAAAGAGACCAAAGAGTCCAAATAAATAAAGGATTATTTGGAAATTTCGGAAAGCAACATTGGCATATGTTTAAGAAACGCGTGATTTGAAATTAATTGTTATAGTAGAAGAAAAAGGTAAACTGAATTGCCATCATATGCAAAATCTGGGAGAATATACTTTGATCACAGAACAAAGGCGAAAAAGTAGCATTTTTATTTCCAAATCTGAGTTGAATAAGTTATTTGTGGTTTAATAATAATAAAATGTTGGCGATTACAC